CCCTTTCATGAACACATCCAATTGGCAAGATGTTCCAGAAACAGACCTTAATGAACAATGTGCGATAGCAGAGACAAAGTTTCCCTTTCCCCTACAGAGATCTGCATATACATATTCTACTCTTCTCTGCACGCAGCAGAGATCGCTGGCAGCAAGTGATGAATAGAATTTATGGAGAGATATGCCCCAACTACCAAGTGTTTGACCTTGTTTTGTAGAACTACACCTCCATCCACCCGATGCATATGTATGAGGCATCTACCTGTAACGTCTTCATTCTCTAAATAGCCACCTCTGCCTGCAGGTGATTGAATATTTCACGATAGCATTAAACAAGCTGCCAATGTTCAAAGTTATTTTACTTCAAAATCATTTCTGCTGCTCTCCTCTACCTGTAGAAACATGATAACAAGGACACAAGCTGCAGACCGATACTTGACGTGTCCCTCTGAGTTTAGTGTCTTGGAGAATTTACTCATTCATGAACTGCAGCTCATTCCCCACATTTATCTCCTGAGCCCTGTTTGTCCATGTGAGTGTGTTTTTGATGACTGACACCCTCTGTGCTTGCTGCTCCCTTTGACCTTTAACACCACAGTGTATAATAACTCTTGCAGTCCGACAGGTCAACTGAGGCGTCACGGCTGGCTCCTTGCTGTGGGTTAGGGCTGAGCCTTTTTATCATACTACCCACCCTGTGATGGATGAACCCGGCTACAAACTGGCGAGAGGGCTAACAGTAGATTGTCAGGAGAAAGCGGATGAAGAGTTGTAACAAATAGTGCCTTGCTAAACTCCACTCTCACTCTACCTTCTCGTTGGCTCTGGCTTCAGACTCATTCAGCTATTTGCTTTGGGCAGCATCTACCGGTTCACAGAGCCGGAGATTGATGGGCTTTATTACAGGTAATAGTCCACTCCTCACACATCTAGTTTCTGATAGCACCTATTTGAATTTGCAAGAGGAGATTTGTGAGGAGGTTGAGTGCATATGTGGGGAATTCTCCGTTTTGACTTGTTGCACATGATTGCCAAAAATGCGATATTTATAAAGGATAGCACGAGACAAACATTTTGCACAGTTTACAGATATAAAAATTAACAATGGGGGAATGTGGATCGAAAGTGTGTTGGAATGCATGTGTCATACGCAGCAGAGCCTCGCTGAGCTTCAAAGTCACAGTGAGACATCTGCCAGGAAACAGGGAGTCACAGAATCTGTACATGTATGTGATGTGAATAATGACAGAATCATGCACTGGGTTAGGTTTTACATGCATTCAGCATCACTGCACAACAAGCTAAATGGACTCCAGATCCAGGCATCTATAATATATTTAATGGATCATTGGACTTTCCCAGCCCCTGCGTTGGGATTACAAATCTTTGGACTGCATATAGGAAAAATACTCTCAGAGGAGGGAGATTCTGTGGAGCTCAATGATGGGTCATGATGACTGATAATAATTTAATAAACTTGTATTTGGTCAGTATCGAAGGGGATGAATCAGTTGACTGTCCTTCCAAATGAACCACACTGGTAGGAAAGAAAAAGTTTGTCAACTTCCAATGACGCATTCAAGTCCGAAGAACAAATAAAGCTAAATACAACTGACACGTCCAGCACAGACACCTGGGAATGTGGCCACAGCTGACACAGCTACACCCTCTCATTTCTCCCCATGAGTCCTCTGCTTCCACCTGCGCTTGGTCAGTCACCCTGGAGCTGACCACCTTCAGCAGGGAGAGGGCCTTCCAATCCCCCTTTGATAATCCCCCTTTGATTTAGTCCATATTTGGCTAACCTTGCTCTGAACCTGCCCCATGAGATTTCTAAGCATTTCAGCTCTCCCCTTCCAGCATACGTGCACTACATGCCTTCTTGACCTAGTTCCTTCCCAACATGCTTCTTCTCCCTTCGCTTTCGCAACGGCCCACTCAGAGAATGAGAAACAGGCCCTTGAAGGAGGTTTGGGTTCAAACTTGGCAATAAGCTCGTCCCCCTCCCCACTCAGTGCGGGTCACCTACTGATCACAATGTGCGGCCCTATCGTGAGCACACAGGAGGGCATTTATGGTTCGCTGGGATCCAAATGAATGTTTATGAGCCTTGTCTGGCAGCCAAAGGGCAGGCACTATCCAAGCTTTTACAGCCGCTCTTATGGGTTCGCTGTTGGTTAAGTGTGCTTGCTTTGACGTGTGGTCAGATGTGGGGTGTCTGGATCCGTGATCTTCAAATCCCTTCATGTGTTTATTACTGGGGCTTGAAGAAGAACTCTAGCCAGTAAGAGTAACGTTCTTTGGGGAAGTACTGTATAGCTTTTTCAGATATGACCTCCCAGTGAAATCCAGAGCATTGGTTACGGACTTTACCCGCAGTTTGCCTTTCACACATGCACAACACAGCAGGGGGGGGTTCACAACAGCATCAAATCCTGCAGACAGAGGCAGGAAGTTATATATTAACGCTGGAGTGGAAACAACATGATCATTTTTCCAGCACCCCGACACCGGTGTCGGCTTTTATCACCACAAACTCTTTTCATTGGTGTGAGACTTCATTTTTCCACCTGGAGATTTATTTTTCTTTTCTTTTCTTTCTTTTCGTTTTGTTTTTTTCGTCTGCAATATGTGAGAAGCATCATCAACCTTTATACTAAGGGGCCAGGCAGATAAGGTCAGCAGAAACTGCAGAGCGTCTCACTCTAACATTTCACACATGCACCAGGAACTGTAGAGTTCAGTGCATGTGTGTGTGTGTCTTTGTAAGAAGTTTGCACAGCCAGCACACCTGCTCCAGACAAAACAACTCACCATGCCAACAACATCATGGAAAACTGAGATGAATGTCCTTGGGCAAGTACAGTAAGATTACCAGACACCTTGCAAACATGTCAATGCAAAACTGACCGAGTGACTCTGTGAAACAAAACGAACGTTTCCCACACGTCAAACAGAAACAGATCCTCCATCTGTCCTTGTGCATTACAACTCTTGTGGACATCGTTGGACAATCCATTGGAAGAAAACCTGGTAGGCTATCAACCCTCAAGCAGCTTTTCTAGGTCGGTGGACCCCCATCTCCCCTCTTCTTCTATACCCAACTCCATATACACGAGCAATGACATGTTCTGGATCAGCTGCTGCAGTTCAGTCTTGTTTGTTTTCCCATTTAATGAGCCAGTGTGTGAAATATTATTTCCTGCACACGTACTGAGAGGACAGATATTCGCTGAGTTTGACAGAAAGAGTCACACATCTTACTGGTGTGTCTCTTCAATATGAGCTGGTTTTAAGCATTTAGTAAATATGCATCTGCATGTATTATGCTGCATATACACCCACATTAAGAGTACTGGCCTCATGATTCATCTCACAGCAAGGAAGGAAACAGTAATGCCTACAGATAAGACAAATCTGCCCTTGGTTGCATTTTTACTGAACATTGCTCGTTTCCTCCGATCTAAATATACGAGTTACAGTCTCAGGCAGAAGAACTTTAATTTGTCAGCAAACAGAGAGAATTTAATTATTGTGACCTGCTGCAGGTCTGTGGATCAACAGTGTTTTATTTGTTGATTTGACAAGTCAGCACATATCCAATATATCTGTTTCATGTGTTGTAGTTTTTGGTAAAATAACATGGAACTTTATTTAAAGGGGTTTTTACTGGAGACAGATGATTGTTTGACCAAAAGCAACACAGCACACAGCAGTAACATTTTAGACTGTGGTAATTCTGAATGATGCAGTATTGTTTTTTCATCTGAAAAAGGAGCTGAAAGGACAGTTTTGATTTATATCTGTATGTTTTCTAACTAATGACTTCAGATGCACTGTCTTCCATCTATGATGTGAAAAGGAAAACACCTTGCAGTTGTTTTATTCCCCCTCATGATTCCACAGCTGACTAATCTCAAAATTACAGGTGCCACACACAGCTGCAAGGACAGCAGCTTTGTCTGGTTACACACACACTGGTCACTTAGTCACATAACAACTCATCTGGGTTGTAAGTGAGATTCAACAGTACGCAACATGAGAAAATACTGCTGAGGTTTCTCTGCTCTGTCCAGGATTCCACAGCCTCAAATAAAATGTCAAGTGGTCCTTGACAAAAAAAAACACAAATACACCACACAAGAAGGATAACAAACACCATTACCACTGCATGACACATACTAACCTCCTTGCACATTTCCTTTGGCTACGGACCAGTTTTGAATTGATGTTTCATCTTTATCTATTCTTGGCTTTTCTTGTTTGTAAATGATATCCTCAGTGAAAAAGGTAATTAGGAGACTGGTATTAATAAATCTCATTTTCTGTAGATAAAGCCTTAGAGCATGATTAGATTCACAAGCAACTCTAATCGCATTCAGAGAGCACATACCTTCGCCAAGGCCCAAGTGTCCTTAAGAAACCACATTTAAATTCACCAGATCCAGACTTTTATTTGGATCTGCACCAAATTACACACACTCATAAATACCAGTCTCAAACATGAAGCAGTAGAAGATGTAAGCTAAGCTAACACAAGTCTTCATGATAGACAACAGTTTTTTAGGAGTGCTCTCTAAACTGTCAACACTAAGGTCTTAAGATGACTGCTGTGCTTCCAGGGCTCAGTAAATACAACAGTGTCTTCCTCCCCATCTTCGCTGAATGGGGGGAGGGGGGTTGACCACTCTGTATGTGTGAGTGGGAGGTCCTGACCAACATATTTTGAGTTCATTATTATTATTATGGAGAATAGCACCATCCCCCTGCACCATTTACCGACAGCAGAGGACAAACAGGTATATACATGCCCCCCCCCCCAGTGTATGTTTTATGTTTTGACAACATCGTCTGTCACAGTCAGTGATCTCATGCTCTGAATAAATCAAAGGTGTTATCACACTGCCGTGGGAGTCGAAATCCAGACACAAAACAATGTCTACCTCCCAGGGATTCTCATTTTTCTTTCTATTTTCGTCATTGCACAAAGAAACACAGTGTGTCTCTAAAACTCCATTTTATTACTTTGCTTTGATTCAAAGACACATTAAAAAGGCAGGTTTAAAAAAACAAAAAAAAACAAAAGTGTAAAAACAGACTAAAAGTGTCACAAAATCTCCCAGAATAACTACTGGTACACACCTAAGCATGGCTTCTGTTCAATGTGAGAATGGCATTCAGTCCTCCATACTATACAGATGTGCACTCACACATATAAATGGGACCAGAGTGTATCCTGCAGTTTATCGATTAATTCTACCTGCAGGAGTGAAACCCTTGTGAACGTCCCCTAAGTATTTTTCTTCACACTATTATGGGGCCTCCTGCACCTCCAGGTGTCTTTAGGTCCATATTCCCTTCATTGTACCCCAGAGACGTTGAGGTCACCCTCACATTCTGTGAAATCCAGGTTCATGTCCTGCCTTTGAATGTGTTCATGCAGGTATAACTCCCAGAAAACTTGTGGATTTCTTCAAGTGCAACTTGTGGCATGAAGCTAAAAAAAAGACAAGAGGCAAAACGTTAAACACAAAGCATAAATTATGGTAATGAATACAAGACTAAAATAAAAGAAAGGAAAAGTTAAATGTGAGTTGTTTACCTTTTTAGAAGGACAAGAGCGTGCATAGTCCAGGGCAGGTAGAGGAAGGCCCTGTCCGCTCTGACTGCTTCCACAGTCCTCTGGGCAACCACCTCTGGTTTGAGAGGAGGAAAGAGCTGAGGAAACCTACAGGAGCAAGTAGTGAGTGGTTAGAGATAAAGTGATGATCATTCAGATTAAATTAAAACTGCATTTTCAAGGGGAATCCACATCTCGCAACAATCCCTCTGGTGGAGATTTTAATTTGAAAAAAACAGCTGCATTGCAAACAAATTATCAACAGGCACTTTATTAGCAACACCATGCTAATTGTGAGTAGTGGTTCTCACTTCTTATTTCTGCACGGTGCATCTTGGCTGAAAGTAGCCATTGGAAGATCGGCAAATTGGAGCCATATTGGATGCACGTGGTCAGTCACAATACTGATATCAAACGATGATTGATTGGTTCTGAGCCAAACACCAAATTCAATTTTTTTGCGTCCCTCAGCAGAAATCAACACCAGGCTACATTTTTCCAAGTCTTTAACTTTCCTGGTTCCATTGAGTCTGCTCTTACTGCAGCTCCAGATTTAGACCAAGCTTGGTTGACATAAGTGGAATCAAACATGGTCTCCTTCAGTTTGAGCCCACCTACCTCAGGGTGGTAACGTGTTCCGAGATGCTTATCTGCTCACCGCAGTTGTAAATGGTGGTTATCTGAGTTACTGTAGCGTTTACACAGCTTGAACCAGTCTGGCCTTTCTCCCCTGAGCCCTCTTATTAACATTGAGACTTTACTCACTGCAGTCACTAAGATCACCCTCCTTCGCTTTGTTAGATAAGAGCATTAACTGAACTCTGCTGGATTTTTGTACTGAACTGCTGCCACATGTCAGACTGGACAGTTGCATAAACAAGCAGTTGTGCAGGTGTTCTAAAAGCTATTACATAACAATGTAAAAGGTAACGTGTGCTCATCGAGCTGTACGAGAACACTCTGTGACACAGATGCCTAACACCTTACAGAGTTCAGCTGCTTGAGAAAGGTCCAAAGGTCAAAGTACACTGTATTCATTAAGGATGTAAAACAGCCACTAGGGGGCAGACAGACTGGCCTTCTGTCCTTCTATCTTTGGTTTTAATCTCACCTAAGGGCGAGTTGAGCAAGAATATTTGTAGTTTTGTTGCAACAAATCAATGAGGGAAGGAATCTGCAAAGTGTTGGTAGATTGCACAAAGTATTATAATGTACTCTGGAGGTTCCCTAATCAATAGGATTGATCTTCAAGGGACTATTAAAGTACAACATTTAAATGATTATTCAGTCAGAAGCTAAGTGATGGACTTAATAACCTGAGGCCCAACATTACCATCCCTACAATCATGCAGGTAGCATGTCTACAAAGAACCAGATCGTAGAGAAGGATCAACCTTCACTTGGTACTTCTGTGTTCTCACCTGACTCTCATTCCTTGGAACATCTCTGTATTGGTGTGGAAAGGAAGCACCGTGGTGCAGCCAACACCGGGGCAGTCCAGCAGGCCCAGCGTCAGGCTTTCCATGAAAGCCAGCGACGAGGCCTTGGAGGTGCAGTAATCTATGGCCCCAGGAATGGGAGACTGGGACAGAATGGAGTTTATGCAGACCACATGGCCGTGTTGCAGCTCCAGCATTCGAGGCAGGAAGGCCTTTGTAGTCTGAGACACAAGGAGAGACAAATGAAGGGGTGAATGAAGACAAAATGGAAGGAGGAGAAGGTGAAATGGTTTCAGCGGCATAAAAGAAGAGCAGACAAGATAAACAGGCCCACAATGTAAGCACAGGTCAAATTTCCATTACCATTTAGTTGATAATTGCATTTCTGTCTGCTTATATAAAAGTCTTCTGATCTCCATTCAAAATAAAAATGCCATTTAACCCTTCTGATGTTTCACAGGCTGAGAAGCAATTTGGAAATACCCCACTTAACCTGCCATAATAATAACAGCAGACAGGATTGGCATGTCTGGCATTGCCTACTGTGTATCCTGTCGTGCTATAATCAAAATATGAACATGATAAGGCTCATTTGTTTGGAATTCCCCTACATCTGCATGTGAGCTGTGAGCCTCTGCTATAAATTGCTCTTTACAAAAGTCTTACCCAGAACTGTCCCAAGGTGTTGATGTGTTGGGATTTCAGAAGGGCGTCGTCGTCGCTGTCCATCAGACTTTTGCCGTGGACCACAGCTGCGTTGTTCACTAATATTGTAACATCTCCCACCTGAGATTCAAAAGCACAACAGTGAGGAAAGGAAAAGAGGGAGAGCACTGGCAAACATATGCGTTTTCTGTCCGCTTTCATGAAATGATGCAGTTGTTCTGCACCAGAGCTGTCAGGAATATTCCCCGCTCTTATACAGATATTTCAGATGAAGTGTAATCTATACACCAGATGGGAGACAGAGTGGCTCAGCGCCAATACATTACGGAGGAGACAGCAAGGCATCCAGGGAAAATATTTTATGATGTGTTGCTCTGTGTGTGCAAAAGACATTTCTCGTATACGTTCAAGTCGAAAAAAATATCTTTATATATGAAACTGCACGGCGTACCTTTTCTCTAACCACCTTGGCTTGCTTGTAAACCTCCTCCCGATTGGCCACGTCACACAGGAAGTAATGGCACTCTGTTCCTGAGAGAGAAATCTCTTCACTTGTTTCTTTGAGGCATTTTTCCGTCCGGCCCCACAGGATCACCTGGCAAACAAAACAATTGCAAAGGTTAGAGAGACAAAGAGAATCTTCTCTGTTTATCATGTGACGAAATCAGGAGCAAATCAAGTGAGATGTTGCTTTTAAATGAAACAAAAACAGTCAACAAAACATTACATGTGTTTTTGTGCAAATCTGTTTTCTGGCAAGGAGACGTGGAGATCTGCGCGCAGCAATTCTCTTTTCATTCAGAGAACAGAGAGGCCATTTTCACTCCAACAAATAGTTTTCGAGCAAGATTAAAGGCTCGGGGGAGCTGCTGTGTGAATGAATTGTCTCTTCATCCACCCGGAGACTAAATGAAGGCTGGTCATTTGAGCAGGGAACATGGGGTTGGACGGAGGGGTGGGGGGTGGGGGGGTAGTGATTGGGCAATTAGATCTGTCAGTCTCTGGGGTCAGAGAAAGGTAATGAAATCAGGGGATGAGACCTCCTCGTCTCTCAAACACAAATTCTCAAAGAGATTACACGGCCTGTTGGGCAGATGAGCCCCGTCATTTCTGGTCAGGGAGTCTGAAAACATAGCGTGTGTGAAGTGCTGAGAACGCCAGTGTGGGATTTGGCTGGTCGCCCGTGACCAAGGTTAATATTTGAGCAAAAAGTCCTCTGGAAAGTGATCTTGTGTGTCTGAGAGACAGTGAGCGAGACTGCTGTGTGCGCACGTACACACACACACACACAAACACACACAAAAGGGAGAGCGTGTCTGTCTGCCAATGAATCATCAGTCATTCACATTGTTTTATAACGGTGCAAAACCTAGTCAATGGGCAGCATGGATTTTAATGGTTTATTAATAATGACAAGAAAGATGAGGTGAAATCAAAGTATATGTGCCAAACTGAATCTGTACGAGAACTTTTACACAGCAACACTTTTAGAAGGCGTGCATGTGCCACTCGACAGGGATCCATTGCACCAAATGATCTCTAATTTGCTTTTGCATAAATTGAACTTGCTTTTCACGAGACACTGGAACTGTTTTAAAATAAAGATTTAGCACTGGTATTGTGAAAAACCCCAAAGGATGACCAACCCTAGTCTGAAGGCAGTGTTCATGTGCCAATAACAATCCAATGGTAACAGTGACAGAAGTGAACCAAAGATAGAGCCCTGACACTGTTAAGCTCCAGGGACGTCAAAGATTACAGGCCGGATGTGTTCTTTGCTTCTCTATCAGATCCGGAACAGTACTTCCTCTGTAAACGGCCCTTGTTTGACTTGCTCGTGATTGGGTTTTTTGTTTGCTTCATTTGCAAGCCCATTTAAGTAATCAGCGAAGGCAGACAGGTCTTGATAAATAACTGAAAGCTTTTAATAGGATTTGAGGCCTTACAAACAAAGCTGACAGCTCTCATTAAAAGTCGGCACTCAAACTGTGCGCTCTCCTGTTGCAATGTTATTTAATTCATTAGGTTTATCCCTCGTCACAACACACAGGACCCTCAGAGCAAACAAGCACCGGCCAAATTGCAAAGTGGATGGAAACAGTAAGAAAACTGTTGACCTCGCACTAGCCCCCTTCGGTATCAGTGAAAAATCTGTGATTGTTCTAACTAGGGATGCCTGACAAGACTCGATGTCAACATGTGCTGCAAGTTAAAGATCCCCAATCGACAAATTCATGTTGCAAAGCTTGAAACAGGACAGAGAGAGAGAAAGAGTGCAAATGCCGCTCGATACCGAGATGTGCTGTACGTGTCCATGACCCCGGTAGCTGCAGCTGAATTACAGTGATATTCTATCTCTGAGGTCTGGATGTATGGGTGGGTAGGAACCCTCCTTTTCACACCCATTGTAAGGGCCAGCGGAGAGGCAGCACACAGAGGGGGCAGCAGGAGTTCAGGAGGCAGTCGCCTGCCGCTGTCTAATTACTGCAGAGACAGCAAGGTCAGTTGCAGGGCAATACCCAGCTGGGAGTGGTGTGCTTCCCGCCTCCAGCACAACACACACACACGCATGCACACACAAACCTGTTGTCAGTGTCTGGTTCGTCTAAAGTGATCTCTTTACGCGATGTTAACAACCACATAAAAATCTGAGCTTTCTGCAAACACTTTACTTGCTGTTGTTGGCGCTGACAAAAACAAATACTGGGAAAAACAAGCTTTGAAGATATAGGTTGTGTGAAGTTGTGTGAACTATTTCCTCGCCCCCTCGCAGCGCCCTGAACTTGGATGTTTGAAAATGCTTTGGTTCAGGTTTATTGTTTTCAGAGCTTTCTTCTGCAATGGTTCCCTCCACAAGAAGACCTGCCCACCCACCCGAGTCCCCGGCTCTCCAGTCTCACAGAATTCTTTTTTTTTTTTTTTAAATGAAAGTCACAGTCAGTCTTCCTAACACCATGAAAACACCAAAGCCCGAGCTGAGGGAAAAGGAAATTCCGGCTGTCGATCACAAAGCGGCTCAAACCAGGGTGAGCACAAGTTCACGGAGGTTATTCATAATTGCCGTCCCATTTCCTTTTAGCATCTCTTCAGGCAGGGAGTAATTGTCATACACGTTACCACAGGTGTTGTTTTCAAAGCCTTCACACCTTGATAATACCCAACAATGGGGTGCTGAAAAGCATGGTGACATCCTTTGTTGTGCAGCTGCAGAGTAAAGCTTTTAAAACCCACCGGTTTCTTCTTGCTCGCTCCCCGAGGAGATGGCATTGAAAGACAGGGGCAGGCAGTTAGTGTTTCATTGAGCTTTTAGCAATGTTTTCAAGCTGCTAAAATTGCGCCTTAAGAGAGAGCATCCAAGAAGTGGAGTGCATGTCGCCCATGAACAGATAATTACAACCGGCAGCCTTTCAGCTTGGCGGCTCAGTGACTTTCTAAAGGGGAAATTACTAACATTTTCTTCCATGTGTAATGATGACTCCCATCTGAGGTGATCAAAAATACGGCGGCTCTGTATTAACATGTTATCGCTAAAAGGGACACCAGTGGCTCATCAGGCACTCGGCTATGTAATGTTCATACACCGGATCGGTTAGAGCAACTGTGGCTGGAAATGATGATGGGAATGGAAGTTAGGCTGATCTGCAGGGATGAGGAGCTGTGGAGCATTTCAGGCCCAAGTGATGGCTCCTTGTTAGGGGGGTGGTTCTCTGAGACTGAATACATTACTTTTAAAGTTCTGCAAAGAATATTCATTTGCAATTTTGCCACCATGACATGGACATTTGCTCTAGTTCTGGATGCTCTGACCTTTAATATCCACGGATCGTGATTGTAATCTTCAAAAAAAAAATCAAAACGTGAGCTTGTAAACTTCATCTTTAGTTGCAGCTGTGAGAAACAATGATTCATCACAGCGTCAGCGACGGTAAAAGTGATTTCTCATCATAGGTCTGACCTCATAAGCTTGTGCCATGTGTTTGAATGAGATAAGAACTTCTACCTTTGTGTTAGACTAACTCAAGATGATGTCATCTGTTTCCTCCATAACTCTTTTGTGTTGGGATCACTTTGTTTTCCACAAACTCTATAAATAAAAGCATCTAGAAGAAAAAAAGCATCTAGAAGAAAAAATTGTTGTATTGTTATGTTGCCAGATTTTACAACAAGACTTAAATATGGCAATAAACTATCATTGGGTTAGAGACGGTCTGTTTTTATGAGAGAGCTTTGAAGCTGTTTCAGTGCAGCTTTGTGCGCATAGACACACACACACACACACACACACACACACACACACACAC